AACTGCAGTCTTCACCACTGTCACAAGATTATTATTTTTTTTGAGAATGCACATCGGACCTCAGGGAAGGGGTGAGGCAAATGAAGAGAATGGAAAATCTTTTTTCCCCCACTTTTGGAGGTTCTGTGTTTCCTGACCCCTTTCCATAAGCAACAGGGACCCGGATCTCAACAGTTCAAAGTCTTTTTTGCTGGCCGAATAATAAGATCAGAAGTCTTATGGCCACAATATAAGGAACCGTGTCAATTATGTTGTCTTCCGACGGTGTCAGTTAGCCTCAAGTCTCATCAGCCAGTTCGTTACGGTCTGTACTGTGAGCACGTCTACAAAACTCACTGGTACACTGCACAGAATTAAAACAAACAAGTGAAGCCTGTTTGTGTACAAAGTGTACAAGGGTATTCTGCAAGAACACATTTCAAAGAAACCTGATTTTGGTTAACGATTTTTAAGGAACCTATTATTTCCGCATATACGTATTTATAAAGCAGAACGTTTCTTTCCCTTGAAGGATCAAGGATGTTCTATTTCCTGCCTGGAAACTCCTAAGGCTGACACTTGATGTTTCAATTAGGACCCCCACTTTTCACCTCTCACCCTGCAGCCATGTGACCTGTTCATGCTAGAGCTCACAGGAGCCCTGTCACCCACAGCTGACAAGAGCATGTCGACATCCAGCTCGTCTGCATCTACAGTATACATCGCAGAAGACAACGTTTCTTTTCAAGTCTGGACTGAACTAGAGCACCACTGCAAACTGCGTGAGGATTCTATTCCCTTGCCAATACAGCATCTGGTATCTGTTCAGTCCCAGAAAACAATGAGCAGGCTGATCGCCTGCATGGTTGTGAGTCCATGGTACAGCACCGTTGTGCTACACTGGATCACTGACCTCTTCCCTCTGTTCCTGGGAACACCCTGGTCAGTGTCCAAGGATCCTAGGGGATCCCCGAATCCCTGGCTGAAAGCTCATGGTTTCAAACTGTTTAGAGACAGTTCTGGGAGCAGCCAACAATCTGCAGCTTTGCATTCTGGGAACTATGGTTAGGACACGGTGGTAAGGTGCCATCCGAACAGGGGTTTTACAAGCAGCTGTTGTCATATCATTTCAGAACTGACTTTGAGGGGCTAGTGGTGAAGTTACAGGTATCTGAAGAAATTTTTGTCCTCTTGCGAGGTTATTTTTGGGAAATCCCCCCCCCCCTACTCTTTCCAATTTCTGTGACTCATGAACAGGAGCAGCTCCAAGCCTGGGAGCTCAGAACTAACTGATCAGCTGTGCGTCTGCAAAGCTGTGACATTTTAAGTCTCATCACACTGGTTGAAAAAAATAAAAATAAATGCTTAGTCACATAGCTTGCCTTAAGCTGTTATTCAAAAGCACTCTGGCTTCTTGAAGCATGTTTCTCTATTAATACGCAGCAGTCCAACACACCTAGGCAGAAGGACTGAGCCCCCCTGTCACTTTGCAATATCTTGTGCCAAGGATTAGGGGATTTGCATCCTAGGGGGATTCACAATGATGGAACTCCGATTCAAACCACTGATTTCTGAACCTCAGGAGACTAACCAGCTCCCTCAACAGGAATCCTCACTGCCTGGACCACGCAGGGGTCTGAAAGCATGTCAACCAAACAGACGAAGGTGTGTCTTCACCCGGAGCACTGCACGTGATTCAGTGATTCAGGGGGTCAGCACACCAGGATGATGGGCTCCTCGAAAGAGTTTGAAGAAGAGTGGCCAGAGGAATTCGGGGCAGTGGATCTGTGGCTCAGGATCTGCACCTGTGGCTGGAAGGTTGCCGGTTCAAATCCCAGTGGCCAGCAGAGGAATCCTACACTGTTTGGCCCCTGAGCAAGGCCCTTCACCCCAGCTGCTCCAGGGGCGCCGTATAAATGGCTGACCCTGCGCTCTGACCCCCAGCTTCTCTCCCTGTCTGTGTGTCTCATGGAGAGCAAGCTAGGGTATGTGAAAAGACAAATTCCTAATGCAAGAAATTGTATATGGCCAATAAAGTGATCTTATTATCTAAGTATGAAAGGGATGTCATATGTAGACCGGTGAAAGGTACTGAGTGTCTTCAGTCTGGAGTAGGGACACTGAGGAATCTCGAAATACTGAACCACAGTACTTACACCTCGAGCACAATCGTCTGCGTTGTAACCAGAGCAATAACCTGGGTTCGCTGGTCGACCTGCTGCTTGCTGGCTGGCGCTCCAGATGACTGCGCTATGCCTGGCTGTCAAAAGACTGAGCTCCCTTTCGCCACTGGGCGGGTGGATGGAGAGACAGGCGGTATCTGTGGGCAAAAAAGACGAGATTTCCCATGAGCACTGCAGGCTCCTCCTTCTGGTCCCCTTTCTCTAAATCTGACCCCCCCCCCATCCCTGTTCGTTACAGTGGATAAGCACGAATCAACCAGCCCCCTGCCGCCATGTCTTCAGTACGGCAACACTCAGGGTCAACGATTGAACAAGCGAGTCTTCTACCCCGCTGCAGGTCAGCAGCACGACCCTGGCCTTCGCTACAGTCTGCTACCCTGCCAGCCGAGCCCAGCCTGATCGACTGTCTGCGCCAGCCACAGACACCCCCGCGGGGTCCGGCCTCCATGTGCAATTCACAGCTCTTATAAAGTGTGTGGGCATGCGTGGGAGGCTTGCACTGGGGTTTCAGTCTCTGCACTGAACATCAAGTCCCTTGCTCCCTCCCTCGGCACTGCGCTCGCTGGAAAAGGACCGGCATACACAGGGCGTTCGGAATACTCAAGGTCGTCTGTGCAGCTGGACAGAGAGTTTTCAGATCCGGCATGCATTTCGTTTTCACTAAATCTCTTTACGCCACGGCACGGTGCTCCTCTCAGATTCTGAACATCCCTGAACATCTTTCCTTGAACACACAGGGCTGTGTCTGCCGAACAGGTGGCCCTGGAGGCTGGGGGGGGAAGCTATTTAGTGTGGCGCAGGAGCCTGATGCCTGTCAAGCAGCTCCAGCCAAGCGCGTCGTGCTGAAGTCTGACTCCCTCACCTGCAGAGAGGCTGGGGCTGGTCAGCACTGAGCTGGCAGATACGCGGGAAAACCCAGCATGCAGTAACACAGGAAGACCAGTAGGTGGCAGTGTTTCCCCTACAGGTGCAGCAGCCTATGTCAGGGCACTTTTTGTCTCGGGGTCCTGGTCAGCATTGCTGTTTTGCAGTGCTGGGGCCCTGGGTTCAATTGGGGCTGCTGGCTGTGTGGAGTTTGCATGTTCTCCCCATGTGAAGGTTTCCTCTGGGTGCTCCAGTTTCCTCCCACAGTCCAGGTTCATTGGCTTCTGGGAAAACTGGCCCCTGGTGTGAGTGTGTGAGTGTCTGTGTGATGGACTGGCATCCTGCCCAGGATGTACCCTGCCTTGCAGCCGTTGCTTGCTGGGATAGACACCGGCTCGCCC